TTTCCAATGAGGGGAGGGCATATCCAAAAATAAAGTTGACTAGCAACCAGGGAGAGTGCCTTCTGTGAGGGACAGCTGTGCACTGAGTTAGGGCTACTGGCCACAGGCTGAAGCCCCAATGGAAGAAAGCACACAGGGATGGTTCACTACAGAACACGACATTTCTCTTCTGTAAAACCCACATAGTAACTGCCTCAAATGGGTGCTATGAGAATTAGAGCTCAAAGTCCAGAGTCAGGCTCGTGGTATGTGCTCCTTCATTGTTTCCATCATTAATTTTGGCCCTCTTCTTCTCACTCAAATCTGTGTTTTATTAACCTGTAGGGCTAACACAGCAATGTTTAAGAAACCGGCAGCAGTTTTTTCATGCTATTCTCACACTTACACCCCACCCAAAGTACAGATTCTTTGGCAGGAACTTTATAGCACTTTATTTATAAAAAGCACAGATGCTATGAAAATTAACTTTCAGAGAGTTGAAATGCTTAGACTTTTTTCTTTTTCAAATTTATTCCTAATGCTGAACCTAGTGATGCCCAAATGGGTATCGTGCAAGCTCAAAATCTGTCTTCACACCAGGATTATTAGCATAGCCATTTGCATAGAATAAAATAAACCCCAGTGACAACACTGCCTAGTGCTAACCCCAGGTCTCCCATGGAACTGCTGACAAGCATTTTCTAAGAACATGAATTATTGTAGTAATGTTTTGATTAGAAGCTGTGATTTTATGGATATAAATGGCTATAGAATTGTTATATAAAAATAAAGACACTTTCAGATGCTTGCTCTAGAAAGAGGGGCTGGAGTGTGAAAGTAGCATCCCATTGTGTGTGACCACACACCAACATCAGTCAAAACTCAACAGTAGTCAGTCAAAACTCAATAGAAGGGAAGGGCTTGGTGGCACACACTTGTTAATCCCAGCAGCTCGGGAGGCTGAGGCAGGAGGATTGCGAGTTCAAATCCAGCCTCAGCAAAAGCAAGGCACTAAACAACTCAGTGAGACCCTGTCTCTAAATAAAATACAAAATAGGGCTGGGGATGTGGCTCAGGGGACAAGTGCCCAAGTTCAATCCCTGGTACACTCCCCACCCCCAAAAAAAAACCTTAACTGAGGGGCTGGAGTTGCGGCTCAGAGGTAGATCACTTACCTAGCATGTGTGAGGCACTGGGTTCGATCCTCAGCACCACATAAAAATAAATAAATCTACAACTAGAAAAACAAACAAAAACCTCAACAGATGATAAGACCACTATTTGTAAATAAAGCATGTCTCTAGGAAAGGAAGACATCTCGGGTTCACGAAGAATTTTAATCTATCAGTTCAATGCATGTCACTTCAAGGTTTCTATGAGCTCTAGTCTATTATGATTCTAATTATCTTTTTTTTTCTCAAAAATGAAAAAATTCAAACACCTTGTGCTATTCTATGCAACTTGCTTTACAATTCAACCGTTCACGATTCCTAGGTTATCTCAAAACATAACTTGCCACTCACTTCAGCTAAATCCAATAGTACTAGCTTGAAACTAGTTTGGGGGTGTTGAAAATTACTGAACTTTGTTTTGAATACATTTAACATGCATGAAATTGTTAGCACTATGTCAATTCTGAGACTCAGTGAGAAATAAAGACCAGGCACTCACCTACAAGGGCTGTGAAGGAGCTGGACAAGTAAACAGAACAACTTTAATAGGTAACTGGTGGGGCAGTGGGGACAAACACCAGCTGTGCCAGATTACAGAGGCAGCACCTACCCTAGCTACCAGGGGGTGTGACCTACGCTGATCCTGAGACATGCAGGTGAGGATAAGGGTAGGTGAGGATAAGGGTGGGCAAGGGAAGGACACTTTCAAAGGGCCAAGGGTTAGGAGAGAGAAGATGGGAGTAAAGGAGAGSCACTGGCAGACAAGGCCTCGAGAAGCCAACCTGAGCCAAGACAATGGGGACCAACCATTCGAGGATTTCAGGGGACACAAGATAGTATCAGATTTATATTTTAGAGCAATTACCATGAATGCTGAGAGAAACATACTAAGCTCTGAGAGATGGTAGCCTGAAGGGAAGGCAGGAAAAGTAGGCGGAGCCAAGTACAGCTGACCCTCTTCTCCTTGATGGAATGGGTCCAGGACCTCAGGGGCTACCCAAATCTGCAAATGATCAAGTCCTTTGTGAAAATGGCAAAGAATTTGCACATAATCTGTGCAATCCTCCTGTATGCTCTAAATCATTCCTAGATTAGTTATGACACCTGATACAAGTGCTGTGTAAGTAGCTGTTATACTGTATTGTTTAAAGAAAAACACCACCCCCAAAAAAGTTCTCCACATATTCAGTAGACACAATTTTTTCCCCCAAGTATTTTCAAATCACTGTTAACTGAATCCATAAATGTGGAACCATGGATGCAGAGAGCCCACTGAACAGGGTGTTTCTGATGCTGAAAACGGAACTCAGGGCCTTGTGCACTCAGCGCGCACACCCCACTGAGCTGCCCTCCAGCTTCTTCATGGGCACACCGGATTTCCTTCTGAGTATTTGCACTTGTTGAACACTGGCTGGTCTCCTGGCTTTCGCTCTACCGGCTCCTCTGTGAACAACATCCCCTCGACTGGTGGAATGCTCTGAAGGCTCCAGACCCACCGGGCTTCACACACAGCAGCTGCAGTGCTCCATGAGCACTATGTAGGGACCACTGCCCTGAGAAGAGGAAGCCCAGAGGGCAGCAGCGCCACCCGACTCTCCCAGAACAGCCAGGCACCGTGGCAAGATTTGCATAAACAGAGGAGGCCTTGTGACCTCTAAACTCCCAGGCAATATACACAGTACAAAATAATATACTGACAGAAAAAGTTTTGTGAGAGCTTTAATGGCACAAAATGTTTATAGCTACAAGTTATACATGTATTGTAAACTGTATTTAATGATACAAAATGCTAACTAAATAGATGAAGAATGCATATTCACTTTGGCTCAGTTAAGTCCAATAATTTCAATATCTGTTTTTTTTATAAATTCATCTAGCTGGCTAAGTCTTCAATTTTCTTTTCTTTTCTTTTTTTTTTTTTAGTCTAGTAAATAATTTTACTGCAATCAAGGTAACTTGCTACACTTTTCAATGTGCAAGGTTGTGCAGTTTTGCTCTTGATGTTATTTACAAATATTTTAAGCCAGTTTTCATCAAACATAAGAAAATGAAACCTGCCTTTTCAGCCCCAATTTGTAAACAGGTGTAAAGCTTTTTAAACATTAATCTCAGAATTTCAACTGTTAATCGTTGAATTCTCCTTCCCAATCAGACAGTGTGTTTTCATTCAACAAAAGTCTAGGAGGAACATAAACATTCATCCCACATGTTAAGGGCTATAGATAAATACTGCATGAGCTCCTCGTGTGGTGAGTTCTACTGTGATAAAGTATTCATGTCTGAAATCATTTTCCATAACTTCAAAAAGGGCAACACTGAACTTATTTTCAATGCTGGAAAAAAAAAATCACAAATATACCCAAAATCCAATGGCACTACTGATAAACTGCTACTGAATTTAGAAAGAGGGCAATGTATTGCCTATAAAAAGTTGCTCTTAAAGTACAATTTTCTTCTTCTCTCCCATGCCACCAATTATAATACAAATTGTATTGTTATAGCAGTTTAGTTCTCTTTATCAGCCTTTCCAATTTTATTCAGGCTCTTCAAAAACAAACAAACAAACAAACAACAACAGTGGACCATCAGATATACTTTCTTCCCAAAGAAACTGAAACATAAAGACTTGAAATAAATAGGTTAGAAGGCAAATCAAATGCTACCAGTAAGACAGAAACAAGTTATAATAAAAAAAGATATCCAAAATTATTTAGATATCAAATGCTAGAAAGAAAAAAGAAAATAATTCAGGAAACTATTTTGGATATATCACCTTTCTTAAAGATGGCCAGTTATGTTCTCAAAAAAAAAGCAGAAAACAATTTTTTGTTGAACCTGTGTTACTTCCCACTGTAATATATCATTTTTACCAACCTTGATTCAAGAAAGAAGAGTTAGTTTCTGCAAACTGGCAAACCTGGTTGTCATAGTGTTTTTTATTCAAGTCAACCTGATGCATTTTATAGATTGCTAGCTTTAAATTTTAACAATTTTAACAATTGGTTCTCTAAATATTCAACAGCAATGTCTACATCATAAACAGTAATAGTTTTTATATATAAAACATACAGTAGTATCCTTCAGAGTCATGCTGTATGTTCTGAAATCCAATAAAATCTACTTGAAATAACTGGCAATCCTGATGCTTTCTAACAATTTGGTCCTAAAAGCTTCACATTTTAGAAACAAACAAAAAAGCACGTTGTTGAAGGGATCTGCTGAGTGTACTGAAACGTCAAGAGTTTAACATAATTGAAAAGACTATTACATGAGAAAATCACCAATGCCCATGGAATCCCAGGGGCCACCTTGGGAAGACGCACAGTAAACACCAGCAAGGGAGGGACCAGAAGGAAACGAATGGCATCTTTCCAGAACTTTGCCAACTGTTCCCACAACCCAAGTCTGCTTTTCAAAGTTGCACAAGTGYGTGGAATAATTCTGAAGCAATTTTCTTCAGAGTTTAAAGGCTTCAGAGTATAAGTGAAGCTTCCTAAAACAGGAAGCCTATGTTAACACCAAAAATGGACTCACTCAAGTCTCTTCTTAGAGGAAAAAAAATGAAGGAAAAAAAAAAAGTAAAGTCATGAAAAATTCACATGCAGCTACTACACGGAAATACCAAATACACAAAAAACTCAAAAGCAATTTGCATGACTAGGCCTGAGACTTCCTTATCAGAAATAAAGATTCCACATCATAGAAAAGACAGCATTACAGCATACTAGTAATAAAATCTGCTGATGTATCTTAGTTCTTACTCTATTTCCTACCTATCATTTACACAACCCGCCTCCTAAAAACTAAAAGACGCTATTAGGAGGCTTAGAAAAAAAGTGGCTCCAAAGCTGGTTTAAAATAATTTTTTATTGCCCAGGATATTTTTTCTTGTGTCTTGCTTTTTATTGTCATTGTTTTTTTTTATTTGTTTTGTTTTTGCTTTCTTTTTAATAACTATAAATTCAAGCTTTGGGAAGAGCTTGACTGTCTTGGAAAACAAAACAAAAACTAAAACAACAAAGCATTTTATATCATTTGCTAACCTGATCTCATTTCAAGAGAGACGGTAGTTACACTGCCAGAGTAAAATTCCTACCATGAGTGATGCAGGTCTAATTCTGGTGGTACTAACAGGAGACAACAGCATTGTTGAAAAAATTATAATCTGCTGGTGGCATTTGCGGAAAAAAAGCCCTTGCAAATTTCTAAACAACAGTAAATTCTGTTAGGAAATTCTAAAGTGTCTTACAGGCCAAAAAGGGAATAAAGTTAGTAAAATGACTCAACCAAGTTTGAATAAAATACTGGAATTGAGAGTTACTGGACTGGATATGTAAAAATAGGGGGGAAGGTTGGTCATGCTTACAATGGTCTCAAGTTCAAATAAACTACTGTGACAATACACCACTTCACAGGCCACACGCGTCTCCAGGAGCTTTCCTTCCCTCAGTAGGTGCTGGCAGAAGGTGTGCTCAGTCGTTTTCCAATATAGATGCTGAAAGGAAGCAGAGCGATCATGTCTTACTTGTTTCTACATCTCTATACCAGCTTGTCCATAGGATGATTCCTACTGAAGAACTGTAAGCTTTGCAGTTCTTGCAAAAGGCTCCAACAGTATATACACACACAGTTCTTAATTCTGACTTCCTGGAGCTACCACTTTCTTTTATTTATTATATATTTCTGTGGTGCTGGGGATGGAACTCAGGGCCTCACATGTGCCATATTAGTGCTCTCCCACTGAGCCACATCCTCAGTCCACTGACTTTTTTAAAAATTTTATTTATTTGAATTTTGGGGGTGTGCTGGGGATAGATCCCAGGAACACTCTATTCCTCAGCTATATCCCCAGTCCTTTTAATTTTTTATTTTGAGACTGAATCTCACTAAGTAACTGAGGCTGGCCTGGAACTTGGGATCCCCTTGCCTTAGCCTCCTTGGTACCTGGGATTACAGGCAGGCAAACCAGTCACCAGCCCTGCAGATCTGGTTTTATCGGATTCTGTTTACTCATTAACTCAGGACTGAACAGCCAAAGAGAAAAGGTCTTCTTCTCCTTTGAGATGTTTCTTTCTGTGGACAAAAAGTTCTATTGCTACTTCAGGTAAAAAAAAAAAAAAAAAAAAAAAAAAGTGTGTGAAATTACTTGGGTGCTAGGTTTAGGCAAAAAATTAGAGCTACCAGTGCCTTTAAGATGGCTCTTACTGATTAGAAATTTAAAAAAATACCAAGTCAAAAAAAAAGGCTCTTACTTACTACAACTCTATAAAGGATTAGGGTCCCAATGTGACTTTTCCATTCCAAGCAAGTACTTGACCTCTTAATAACACAAGCAAAGGGAAATTAAGGAAAATAAACAACTACCTCTACCCCCAGTGCAATAAAAGCAACTTAATGTTTTTAAGCCCTTTTCTTAATATTCATCTATGTCAACATCTACACTTGAGGCAAGAAGAGTCTGAAGATTTACAAAAGCAAGAAATACTGCAAGGTCAAAAAACTACCTCTTTGGGGCAAATGAACTACTGAGCCCTTATAACTTACTAAAATCTAACCCCTGCCTCAGGGTCCATACCCTCCCTTCCTTCTTAAGCACCTCTCTTTCTGATGCTTTTGATCACCCTTACTGCCTCACTCAGGCAGACCAAGCATCAGGAGAGACAAAGGGTATGGAATGTTACTGGGATCTGCCTCTGTGATGCTGAGCTCCTTATGGGGAAGGTAAGGGATTATCCATCTTTTGAGGATTATACATGAAAAATGACCCACTGGGCATGCTTAAAGAGCATAACACGTCTTTAAAAAATAAAAACAAAACAAAATAAGCCAGGTGTGGTGGCACATGCCTATAATCCTAATGACCCAGAAGCCAGCCCCAGCAAAAGCAAGGTGCTAAGCAACTCAGTGAGACCCTTTCTCTTAATTAAAATATGAAACAGGGCTAGGGATGTGGCTCAGAGTTGACTGCCCCTGAGTTAATCCCTGGTATGCCCCCCCCCAAAAGAATGGCTGGAGATGTAGCTCAGTGGTAAACTGCCCATGGGTTCGATTCTCAATAGCAAAACAAAAACAAAGTCTAAAATTAAAATTTCACTTAGTGGATTAAGATGAATATCTTGGGCCGGGGATGTGGCTCAAGTGGTAGCGTGCTGGCCTGGCATGCTCAGGGCGCTGGGTTCGATCCTCAGTACCAAATAAAAATAAAATAAAGATGTTGTGTCCAATGAAAACTAAAAAATAAAAAAAATATTAAAATTTTAAAAAAGATGAATATCTTATTTCCAAATGAAGGGAAAAACCTATTATTAAAACTACCTTGGGTTGGGGTTGTGGCTCAGAGGTAGAGCACTTGTCTAACACATGTGAAACACACGTTCAATCTTAAACACCACATAAAAATTAAAAAATAAAGGTATTGTGTTCATCTACAACTAAAAAACAAAAACAACCCCAACTGGCCTATAAGTAGACCAATCAAATCATGTATCAAATTTAACTTATCCATTTTTTTTTTTTTTTTTTTTGGTACTGGGGATCAAACCAAGGGGCACTTTACCATTAAGCCACATCCCCAATCATTTTTATCTTTTTATTTTGAGACAGGGTTTTGCTAAGCTGTCAAGGCCTTGAAACTAAGATCTTCCTGCCTCAGCCTCCTGAGCTGCTGGGATTACAGGTATATGCCACTATGCCCAGTTTAATCATTGTTAAGTTTACTTTATTTAAACTAAAATTTACTTTATTAGAACTAAAACATTAAAAGCAAACCAATATGGGGCTGGGGCTGTGACTCAGTGGTAGAGCACTTGCCTGGCACATGTGAGGCACTGGGTCTGATCCTCAGCACGACATAAAAATAAACAAAATAAAGGTATTGTGTCCATCTATAACTACAATATTTTAAAAATTAAAAAAAAAGAAAAAAAAGCAAAGCAATACAAACTGTTTTCCCATGCATTTCTTACATCTCAACAAAAAGTATGAGGATGAAATGAATGGAAAAAATTTTAACAAGAGTTTAATGGTACTTACCCTAGCCCCAAAGCCAAAACATGAGAAAGGAAGAGAGATGGAATGAACACCTTCAAAAATTCTGCAGAAAAAATACCACCTTTCTTCATGGCTCCACTTTTCCTCATGCTTAGAGACACAGAGCGCTTGGGGTGTCTGAAGTGGAACTCCCTGAGAGAGGAATCCAGAGATGGAGTCAGAAATGCATTTGCTGGACATACCTCAGGGGTCTCCAGGACCCCTGCAGAACCCACAGGGAGACGCAAAGAACTTACTTGGGTGGAACATTTTCAGGTCTACTGGACCAGTCGGATACCCAGTCTGCACTTTTCTTCAAAGCCTCAACTTCCTTCTCTCCTTCTACCACTTCCTCTTCTGACTATAAAGAAGAATTCAACTTTCAACAAAGAATTAAAAAAAAAAAAAGTACAATTCCTTCTAATACAAAAACAAATCTGTGGACAGAAAATTAAGAACTATACTCAGAAGGTTCTTCCCCATTTTCATAATAGAAAAAGGCTATTTTTCTAAAAAGCTGACAAAATGACCTAAGAGTATCCTAAAATGAACTCAGTGAGCTTGATTGTTGGTACAGTGAAGTATAAACTATGAACTTCAAAACTATTTGAAGATACAATGATAATTAAAGTTTGGAGAATCTAGATAATTATTCAATCCAGTGCAGATGAACATCCATTACATTATTTTCCTGATTTTTATATGCATTTAGATTTTCATAGAAAAAATTAAATAAACGCAAACATACCAAAAAAGATATAACAAAAATACAAGTGCTGAAAAGCAAATCAAGTGGGAAATATGATAAGGAAATAAATAATGGTCTTAGCATTTAGACGACCACCGTTCTAGAGGCTTTTATATTCATCAATTTTCACTTGTATCAACCCTATAAAATAAGACTGTTAAAACCTACTTTCTAGATGGGGAAACTGAGACACAGCATTTTGTACCCTGCCTAAACTTCCACGGTTAGGAAGTGACAGGACAAGCATGCAATCCAGGCAAACTTTAACACACCTGCTCTTAAGCAACAGGTTTTACTCTCTGGAAGTATATAACAATTTTTAGATAAATCACTATCCAAATATTTCCCAAGGTTTTGACACCATGTTAGCAAAAAGTTTTTTGGAATAATCTGTTTTAAACTGAGTCAAGAATTTAACACTTACTCTATCAAATAAATGAAAAAGAAATTTTTATTGCTAATGACAACCTGAAGTTTCAGGCCAAGATATGAGCCAAGAACAATTAAAGTTTCCAAAAGCTTCCTTTTAACAGAACCCACAGGACTAAGAAATTCCTCAGTATTATTTCTTCAGTTTTAAGGAATGCAACACTATGACCCCAAACCAAAAGATCTCAAAGCTACAAAGTGTTCTCATTTTGTTTGCATAGGATTGTCTCTCTCACCACAGCTTTCATTCTGTTCAGGAGACAGTTGCAAGGCAAAGCCTGGCATGTTCACAGCCTTCAGCTCTGACAGGTCTAGTTTATGGCTGCCCAAGGAAGAGAGCTTGAGATTGGATCTCTATACAATCCTTTTCCCCAACAAAACCAGAGCAAATCCCTGTGGATTCTTGCTACTTGTCAGTATCACTCTTATCTAGTTCTGCTGAACTTGGCAAATCCCAATGAATGACACACAATGCAGCATTTAGAATTGAGCTTTTTCCATTGGGTATTGGAGATTACTCAGAATCATGAGTTGGCTCTTTGGAGTGGCACTGAAATCATCCTAAACCAAAAACAATAAATTGTTACAATTTGCATACAGACTAGTTTGTGTGCACACAACATCTGACTCCTCAACATACTGCAGATAGCTTCTGAAATTGCCTCCTGTGGCCTCCTATCTAAAACTGCTCACAGATTTAGCTCTGAATTTTGAATAAGTCAGTATTTTGCACTTTCCAACAGAGGGAACATGCAGTAAGAGCTTATGCTTTTTTTCCCCCCTAACATGGTGGGATTTTTCTCTCAGCTGAGTAAAGCAAAGTTTTCTCTGGAATAGCATTTTAAAAAGCTAAAGAAATTTCTTATTCTAATGTTTACATAAAGAATGGTAAGCTCCCCTCATTTAGCACTGCTCTGAGCTTCCTTTCATTTATCTTACATTTAATTTTCAGGTTTTAAATTGTTTTCCACTTCTTGGAATGGCCAAAAAAGGGTAAAAGTGCACTTGATCTAATTATATGAGATTCATGCTTTTAAATGAATCAATGATCTTCTCTTTGCACTTACATCTATTCAAAGAAGAGTTGGGCATTTCAGACTGTTCTTATGTGGGAGCCCCTTATCTTCACAGTTAGATTTTCCTTCTCTGGCCAATCCTGTTCTCTTAGGTCTCTAAAGTGAATATTAAACTATATACTGTGATCCATGAACAGACCAGTTTTACAAGACAGAGAAGGTTATTTCCAGTTTGAATCATCTTCCAATGATACCCAACACTCTTTGGTCCTGAAATACAATGCAAAAATGTCTTGAGATCACCTGTGGTCCATTTCCTGATACAAAATGGTTGAAAATGGAAACTTGAGTACTACTATCCTAAAAGTAGTTTTAACTATCTTTTCCCTAAATGTATTACCTTAGCAGTCCCCATACTCATAACTCATCAGACCTGTTAGTTCATTCGCAAGCCCTATGAGCTCTCCTGTGACCAATTCCATTCAGTGGCTAATTTTAGTAGAAAGAACAGGGATCATGCACAGCTTAGAAAGACTAGTTTTCTTTCCTTTTTTTAAAAAAAAAAATATGTTTTAGTTGTAGTTGTACTCAATATATTTATTCATTTATTTTTATGTGGTACTTAAGATCAAACCCAGGGCCTTGCACGTGCTACATGAGCGCTCTACCACTGAGCCACAACCCCAGTCCCAGAAAGGCCCATTTTCAATTATAGCTCTAACATAAACTTGCTTTGTTGTCTTAAATAAGTAACTTAATTGGGGCAAAGCTTCATTTTCCCCATTTGTCCAAGGGGATGATATCACCTCTTTCACTGGACTGAGAACATTAAAAGTGAGAAGTATTTTTAAAAATAAATTTAGCTCCTAGCACACTCCTGGTAAATGTTAGTGCCTCCTCTCCTTGCTCCTCCTAGAGAAGCTTGAAAATGTCATCCATCCTTTATAGACAGACACACATGAAAATATCCCATGTGATGAAGCATACTAACAGTCCTTTGTTTACTGTTTTTAAGTGTTTCTTAACCCTAAACTTTCTTCTCATTCATGAAAAAAAAAAGTAATTTTTCCAAATCCCAAAGTAATTAATTTTAAATTGTTTCTTCAATTTAAAAAGAAAAACAATGCAAAAGGCTTTTTCAAAGTTTAAATAAATGATCCCTATTCATATCTACCTTATTAACAGTCTTACTCAGCAATGTTTTTCTTACAAGAGTTAGGGACTGCTTCTGCCAAAACTTACCCTTGTTTCAACGGGCTGATCTGTCAATGTGGCTTTTCCTTTGCCTGAGGAGAGTCAATGCTCTTTTAGGTACTTGTTTCTGATTAGGGATCCACTGGTAATCCTACTAGAATCTGACACAGTGAACTCCTGAACTTCACAAATTCCTCTGAAATTCTAAAGTGGATGTATTCAGCTCTAGAATTCCATGTCAACTCAATGATCAGGTAAGCCTAATGGTATAGCTGCCATTCCATAACCCAGGAAAGTACTGATCAAAGTATTCCATGGGATTATTAAGATAGTAAGGGGGGAAGTATGTATGAGGAGGGGAAGGTGTAAGGTCAAATAAGCTAGAGAAACATTTGGTTTAGTGAAACTGGATTTCCTTAATGCAGGAATTTTCACAGCTACTACCTTTGGTGACTACTGCTGAGGAGTCAGGCTGTACTATTTTCCACTAATCTGACTTTAGAACTGTTTTATGGAGCTTCCCATTGAGCAAATATTCCTCAGACACATTTTGGAAAACGCCAATCTAGATCTTCAGTCTGTATATAGAAGCTGATACTGATTGAAGACTACTTCTTCAGGAAAGGCTATAACACAGATTTAATTTCATATCTCTCTCTCTCTCTCTCTCTCTCTCTCTCTCCTCCTCTCTCCTCCTCTCTCCTCTCTCTCTCTCAGATCTTTGTCATACTTCCTGCAATGGGGACAAGTACTTTTGTAAACATTAGTTACAGTTTACTGTATGGGGCCAAACTGACATACATTAGCCAGAGAATCAACAATTCTCATCAGATCACCTCACTACACAAAAGCTTTGCCATTTGCTATAAACTTCTCTACAGAATATGGCCCATCATAAAATACATGGTATTCAATCTGTAGATTTTCTAGGTTTCAGAGAATGGCAAAAATAGAGCACAGCCCAAATATGGAGAAACTGTGCAGCTTTTTGAAATGGATTACTGGGCAAATCAAGTAACAGGAAAACTATTTCTATTGCAAAGGGGCCAAGGATCACGTATAGTGAGAACACTGCAAAACAAGGGTTTTTAAAAAAATAACTCATGTTGGGCTGGGGGTGTGGCTCAAGTGGTAGCACGCTCGCCTGGCATGCGTGCGGCCCGGGGTTCGATCCTCAGCACCACATACAAACAAAGATGTTGTGTCCGACGAAAACTAAAGAATAAATATTAAAATTCTCTCTCTCTCTCTCTCTCTCTCTCTCTCTCTCTTTAAAAAAAAATAACTCATGTAAACATTCATTCAATATTTTTCAAGCGCCTAAACACAGGATAAAAAGAAGATGGTTTTTGCCCTCAAGAATCTGCACTCTAGTCAGGTGTAGTGGGACACACCTATAATCCCAGCAACTTGAGAGACCGAGGCAGGAGAACCAAAAGTTCAAGACCGGCCTCAGCAACTCAGTGAGATCCTATCTCAAAATAAATAAACAAAACGAGCTAAGGATGTGTCTCAGTGCTAAAGTGCCCCTGGGTTCAATCCCCAGTACCAAAAAAAAAAAAAAAAAGATAAAAGTTGATCTGACACCTACATAAGATTAAGGGCAGGCCATGAATGTTCTAAGTCATTAGCAACAATTATACACTCACCATATTTTATGTTTTTTGATGCAAACCTCTGTAAGATTTAATTTTTTCCTTTTTTCTTTTAATACTATACTTCCAACCATATCAATTTCTAGTGAATTATTTATCTTCTTTAATTCAAGGAGTCTTGCCAAAATTTAGAAGAATGTTTCTCTCTTGCTGCAAATTCACCTTGGAAGTCGCTGCTTTGATTTCAGATACAAAGTTTTCACACTCGATTCTAACACAGCCTTCATTTGAAATTATTGCAATCTTAAATAAGACATCTCAGTTTTTCTATTTATAAAGTCAAAAAGTAGCCTGGAATATTAGGAATGTTACATCATAGACAAAAATTTTCCAACACTTTTAGGGTGAAAGGGCCCCAAATTCTTAGATCTAAAGAAGTGCAACAAGAACAAATATTATCCTAAATAACTCCAAAATTGGAAATTGAGTAACTTAGAACAGCTTCAAACTATTGTTAAGATTTCTGAATATCTTCTTTCTCAATATACTTCAGCAAAAAACTTAGAGAACCTTCATCACTCCTAACTGCTTACTTTACTATAAATGAGAACAATAAACACACACACCTGAGAACTATGGTCCCTGCTGGTATGCATCTCCACATCAAACATGATCTGCCCATCTTCTTGAGGTGAAGGGCTAGGAGAGAAAGAATTGAGCTATTAGCTTTACCCCTCTTCTTATCAAATGAATTAGTCTTTACATGAAATTAGAAAATAAAATTACAGCAAGATGACTATACAAAAGCAGTTAATCCTAAAGTATTTATCATAATCCTAAACAAGCAAATTTCATGTGATAGGAAGTGACTAAATAAAATCAGGGCTCTTACAAATTGTTCCAGACTTCATCAGTGGTGATGAATTCCTTTACAATGCTAAATCTGCAATTTAATAAAGCAAATAATGTCACATTCTCTTGTTTTATTCTTTTTTTTTTTTCAATAAAAGCAAAATGATCTTCAAAGTCAGAATCCTAGCTTGGGGTTCTTTCAAAGTTTTTTCATCACTAAATAATTTGCTCCCAGCAGTTCTCTAAGTATGAAGAGTAGTTCCGAAGGACTACTTCATAGGGTCTTCAAGGTTAAGTTTTCTTTCACAATATTATTAGGATTTATTTGCTATTTCCATTGTCATTATCTCATAAAATTATAGCAGAAAACTCTACCTGATGTGTAATATTACAGCAGACTGGATATAAAATCAGGTGAGAATCCACCTATTCTCTAATAAGCCAGATATTAAATTTGTGAAATATAAAACAATTGTCACTATTTCTTACTAATCTTTGTTATGATAAAGCTATTTTTTACTCAAAAAGTTACTTATGTTCAAATGTAATAAATTTATTATTTTTCAATGAATAACTACATATTCTAAATTTTGTCCTAATTTCTTTTTCAGGGGGAGGTGGTGAGAGGATTGGATTTAGGCTCTCAATTGTGCTCTACCACTGAGCTTCACCACCAGCCCCATTTGTAAATTTCTAAAACAGTAAATATCCAAATATACAATCTACATGCAAAAGCTCTTTGGCATCTCTAATAATTCTTCAGAATGTAACATAAACTGAAAGGTTTAAGAAACATTATTCTATTTATTTCAAAAATACGTGCTCTGAGATATTTCAGAGTGAACTATATAAACTTATATCTGAACACAAACCTTTATGCTAGTACAAAATAGATTCCCAGAACTACAAAATCTACACATGAATTCTTAGGCAAAACACATGATCACAAAGTATACTTGTTACAATCTATGAATATAATGTGCTAAGTCCATTTCTTAGTTTTATCAATGATACTATGTAACTACAATGAGCCACCGGAATTTTCAATAGACACATTGTGTTCCCATCCCATGAAAAATAAAACAGGTCTGAAGGTGTATCTCAGTGGTAGAGCACTTCCTAGCATGGGCAAGGCCCTGGATTTGAACCCTAGCACCAAAAAAACAAACAAACAAACAAATACTCAAATAAAATAGAGGTGAAAAATAGACTGTGTTACCTTGCTCAAAGGAACAAACATTAACTACTAAAGTCACCAAGGGCATGTGTATAAGGTCACTGTATGGAGATGTTAGTGAGAAAGCTTCCAAGAGAAGCCACATATGTGGTCATCAAGACCCTGACCTGACCCATCCTGGCACATGGCACCACTGATAGAGGAAACCTGAAGGAGCCAGGAGGCTTCACAAATGTCCCCAGGAGTGATCTCTGAGGAACATCAGCTGACTCCTAAGACTATATAGGAACAAGGTCAGTTTTGACCAGCTTGGTCTTAAACACCTGGCAGGAGAGTACAGCCTGAGCACAGTCCTACATGGACATTTAAAAGGGGGAAAAATTTTTTTTAATATAATTTAAGACGTACACTTTTGTCAGACCCAACAAAAGTAAAGCCGGAGACTGTAAAGGAAGGGTACTCAAGAGAGTGCCTAACATTTAAATATCACAAAGGACTCTAGAGACACAGGCTGTCCTGCATTCTAGAGACTGGCTGAAATACTAATTGTTTTCATGTTAAGTGTTTATCAAAAAAGTAATGCTTTGCTGTCTTGTTTATTGTTGTCCCAGCATAAACCTTGCCCTATATATACCTTGTCCAGTCACCTGCCAACTCCCACCATGTTCCTCTGGACTGCTATGATGCTGAATACCCCTCCTGACAGAAAACAAGAACTCTAGGTCACTTCCCTCCAACTTTGCCCTCTCTCATCAGGAAATAACTTGGAGATGTCATCTCCCACTTTTCCATAGAAATGGAAGGTAGAAATTGACAGTGGGGAAATGAAACAGTGTTACCTTCACCTTCTGAATGTAGCACTCATTGTGCTAAGGCTTATTTAAAAAAAAAAAAAAAAAAAAGATTTTTCCTCTCTTCTCCCCTCTCCCCCTCCCTAACAAGATTGGGGAGACAGTGTTATCTTTTCTTTCCCTAGTTAACTGCCTTGGAACACACAAACTACACATAGGAGAGGCCTGCTGAGGATCTGGGAAGTGAATATCTCCCAAATTAACAAGTGAATCCTAACATGCCATCAGGGGGCTTCCTACTGGAGCACACCTGGAATGTAACCCTTGAAGTTCCTTTAAAACCCCCTTCAAAATGGATGGCATTAGAGCATATTATGCTAAGTGAAGTTAGCCAATCCCAAAAAACAAATGCCRAATGTTAGCCAATCCCAAAAAACAAATGCCGAATGTCTTCTCTGATATAAGGGAAGTGACTCAAAATGGGGTAGGGAGGAAGAGCATGAGAAGATTACCTCTAAATAGGGAAGAGAGGTGGGAGGGAAAGGGAGAGAGAAAGGGAATTGCATGGAAGAGGGAAGGAGACCAAGACCCCCCTTTGTCATACAGAATACCGGTATGACGATGTGAGGGAAAAAAATAAAAAGAAGTGGGTCACATTAGATTGGGTAGAGAGAAGTGATGGGAGGGGAGGGGAGGGGAGGGGAAGCGGGGAATGGAAGGACAGCAGAATAAAATAGACATTATTATTACTGTGGGTATATACATGACTGCATGACCAATGTAATTCTGCAACCTGTACACTCAGAAAAATGAGAAATTATAACCCATTTGATTCAAATGTATGATATGTCAAGATCATTGTACTGTCGAGTGTAACTAAGTAAAACAAATAAAAATAATAATAATTACGCAATCACAAAAATAAATAAATAAATAAATAAAAATAAAGCCCCCCTGTCCCTACTGAGAGAGTCAAAGACTTTGGGAAAGGAGTCCCCTGGGTTTCTCTTTTGCTAGCAAAGCCATAAACCTTCTTTTTCCTTTTTCTAAAAAGAAAAATAAGACCACCAGAAATGACTTATTAGGCCTAGGTATCTTAAGACCAGTACAGTCAACATAGGAAATTCTTAAATGATAGGAAAAGGAAAAAGATGTTTCTATGTCAAACATATCACATAAACTTAAAAAACTTTTCTCTTTAATAAGAAATGTCAGCAATAGCACAGGAAACAAACAGAGGTATTCTTGTCCTCAGTTTACTGTATTTGTTCTTATAACAATATTGGCATCAAGTTAGGGGCTATCTTTACATACAGCTGGGACCAAATCAAGACAGGCAGAGTGACAAGGCAGGAATCCTACTGCAGCACCACTCTACCTCTGCACTGCTCCCACAAGCACCAATCTCGCTCCCAGAAATACTAGCTCTCCCCTGGTCAACTGTTTGCTACTCCTAACAATTTGGAATACAATAAGGCTTCAACCATAGCTCCTATGGAGAAGCTGGGAGGTTGTAAAATATCCCAAATCTCTGCCTCACCCCTTACAACTAAATCAGCAGCTCTAAGGATGGGGTTTTGCACTGGAGTTTTTAAAAGAGCCCTGATGAATTTAGTAAGCAGTTAAGCTTAAAAGTCTCTATAATTGGGTGGAGAAAAAGCAATATATACAGGGGTTATCTTCTAACAACCACTGTTAGGGACAAAAATATATCTTTAGAATAATTTATAAACACAAATCAGCTCTGGGACTAATATTCTACAATCCTAACTCTTTCACCTATAAGAAACATTTCCCAACAACTTCAAACATAGAGTTGCATGTCAATTCAAATGACATTAATTTTGAAATGTTTTTAAACAGCCAAGTAAGTAAGATATTACTGAGCTAAAGTACTAGGCCTCCTTTGTCAGATGACAGTAACCCAGAGCCTGGAGTATGCAAGCTAAGTAATAAGAAAGTGTTCAAAAGCATACGCCGTACCTCTTTTCACATATTTAGAAACCTAAACTTTAAATACAACCTTGGGAAAATGTATTCATATTCCATCATATGTATAACTGCAAACAAAATGAAAGAAGATTACCAGACAAATAAGCAGGTGATTTTTCCCTGAACCATGTGAACAACAGATTAATGGAGACAGTGGTATCACTATTCAAGGTTCATGTACTTGAAGATATAGTAAAATAGGCCATATTAAGCAGAAACCTTCAAAAATCTAAACAGAAAACTTTAGAAATCCTTCAACAAATTCCATAACATAAATCTTCATTCTGAAAGACAGACTAATGCTATTGCTACTGGAATCAGTGACAAACTGCTCAGAATGTGCTCTTGTTCTGCTTATGACAAGAGACATCCCTGGCTCTAAGAATCATGGGGACAAGTCAGAGACGATGCAGGGACAAAGTGGGTGCTCAGTGTGCTGCACGGTCAATAAGCCTGCCCGCTGTTGCCTTGCTAACATGAGTGGATCATAAGATGTGCAGGAAGATCTAGCAGATTTAATTCATTTCTCTCTTTTTTGACATGTTTTTCTGATAAACACTAATAGATGCTATATACACAATTTCTATAAGATACAAAAATGTTAGGAAAAACATCCATAATTCTGTCCTCTGAAGAAAGTCACTGTTTATATTTTTAAATGTTCCCTTATTCCTCCTCCTGTGCGTCTGCATTTTGGACATGCTTAGTATTAGTTAACTATTAATTAACCAGAAAATTATCCAGTACTCCAGAATGCTAACAGTGTGCTGCCACTGCACTAAGAGGTTTTAAATATTTGAGAGGCTGAGGCAGGAGGATTGCCAAGTTTGAGGCCAGCCTTGGCAACTTAGTGAAATCCTATCTAAAAATAAAAAATAAAAAAGGGGTGGGGATGCGGCTAAGAGGTAAAGTGCTTCTGGTTTAATGCCTAGATAAAAAAAAAAAAAAAAAAAAAAAGAATCTTTACATATCATTTAATACTCAGTCCCTCTGGAAAGGAAAGGAAAGGAAAGGAAAGGAAAGGAAAGGAAAAGCTCAGAGAGGTGTCAAATTAATAACTTGATTTCATTCCACTCATACACCTCTCTCAATGCTTACTCTGTCACCACAAGCAATCCTTAATCAGTGGAATTCGCTTCCCCACATAAAACACAGAAAAATGAAATCTGAAGTAAAACTTCTCCTGAGGAACAGAAGGTCTTCAAAATGAACTTTCTTTACAGACAGAGGTTAGTGCTTCCACTGTGCAAATATTGCCAGAACCTGAATCGACTTGCAGATCCTGTGAGCCAAACATTTATGAGTGTCTGCTGCATGCCAGCATCATTACTGACAAGGGTGCAAGGAAGAGCCATGTGACCCTCCTATGAGGAGACAGACTTCTACAGAGGCAAGTCAAGCACAATGCAACTCGGGGAAAGGACACAAGGGCAAAGGAAACTGGGAGGAAGTTAGATTTATTTTACAAATTAACATTTATGCTATTGAATTTTAAACTGATAAACATGTAGAAATAAAATAATTGGGGCGCCGGGTGGGGTGGCGCACACCTGTAATCCCAGTGGCTCAGGAGGCTGAGGCAGGAGAATCGAGAGTTCAAAGCCAGTCTCAGCAAAAGCAAGGCGCTAAGCAACTCAGTGAGAGCCTGTCTCTAAATAAAATACAAAATAGGGTTGGGGATGTGGCTCAGCGGCCAAGTGCCCCTGAGTCAATCTCCAGTACCAAAAACATTAATAAAATGAAAAAAAAATCTAAATAATAAAAATTAGTGAATCTGGAGAAAATCAGAGGGCCCTCAAATGACTGTCAATTAGCTCTTTGATTTAAATACATATGGAGGTATATTTTGTTAATTGAACATTTAAGCAAATAAATTTTTTCTCATGGGAATTAGCCCTGTAACCCACCTGTCTCCTGAATTTCATCAAAATATGGATCTCACTTACCTGTCACAGTGAGAACTGCCTCTTGAACTGCTCTGTCCTGATTCATGCTGTGCATCCAAAAGAATCTTTTCCATGTCTCCATTGTGGATGGAAGAGGAAGAAGGTACGTGTTCCAGCCCCCCATTCTTCCCATTGCCATTATCATTGCCATTGCTGCTATTCATGGGTAGCTCCACCCAGGAACCTGTTGGACAAGTCAGATAAGTTAACCACAGCAAGACTGAAATCCGTCATGTGCACGGATGCTAATATGGCGAATTCAGATAAGAATTCTGACTTGCTTTAAAGTGAATTTAAAAGTATTCTGAAGAAAGTAAACAAAGTGCAATAAAGTCAAAATCTATATTGTTCTGTTCCTGAAGCAGCAAATGCAATTGGTTAATTGAAAATGACTAATTTTGAAGAAGCTGGAAATCTAAAACTAACTTTTTAGAAAACAAGTTTTCTAAAAATAATTTTCTCCCTGCTTACAGTTTGATCTATACACAATCAACAATTTCCTGAAAAAAAGAAGCTGCTTTTCAAAAAATAAATAGCTACTTCATTACTAGACAGGCTACTTGCCTTTAATATTTTAGTTTCTCTCTCTCTCTCTCTCTCTCTCTCTCTCTCTCTCTCTCTCACACACACACACACACACATACACACACACACACACTCTATTCTTAGCCTGCCTCAGTTATTTAGTATCTGCATCACAAATTAAATAATAAATATATGACTTAGAAAAGTCATACAGTTCACCAAAATAGGTTTAACAACTAACTACCACAAACAATAATGAAGCTGCTACAGAAGAAATCTATATTCAAGGAAAAATTTGGGGGCTGGCGTTGTGGCTCAGTGGTAGCGCGCTCGCCTAGCAAGTTCAAGGCCCTGGGTTCAATCCTCAGCACCATATAAAAACAAATAAAGGTACTGTGTCCAACTACAACTAAAAAATAAATATTTTTTAAAAAGAAAAGAAAAATTTTTAATTTATGTACAAATTTAGAGCATAAAAATAATGCAGCTGGTTCTTAACAAAATCAGGTGAAAATGACAAAAAAATCTGGGAGGAAAAAAGTTTTAGCTCTAGTTCCTATATTTGTTTCTTCCTTTCCTCTTTTATTCTGTCTTCTTTTTTATGTACCAAACATACCTGGTGAATGTGACTCTCTCTTTTCTCTCCCACAAGTTCCTACTTTCTAGGGTTTTCATTAAGTCCTGCTGGTTTGGAAGCAGAAGCCACTGCACAGGACTAGAGAGAGACGGTGAATTTGTGGGGGGTAAATAGTCAAAGAGGGTGGAGCCTTACGAAAAGGGGAGGAGGGGCACTTGTAATCGGCATAGGTCCTGAATAGTTTTTACTAGCCCAATGAGTTTGCAGAACTATTAGTACTTGAATTTTAATAAGAATCGATAACAGTACCCAATAAACCAAGGTTACAACAAAAAGAGAAGTGTTTTCATAACTTCCCTTCCTTACAATAAACTTTGTTTTAGAAAATATAACCCAGCAGGTTGGTAGGGCCATTCCTCTGAATTCTCCACAGAAGTGCTGAAGACTCTCAGGGCTAAATGCAGAGTTCCATCAATCAGAATAATCACTAAAACAAGTCAAAACCTAAAATACACTCTAAATAAGGCCATGACTATACCTGATGGAGGGTGAGTTCACTGTCCTCCTTACAAGAGAAAGGAGAGCTCAGGCATACCTGGCTGGCTGGAAGTCTGACCCTACCTCCCACCCTCTGTGTACAACCTTCCTTTCTGCCTTCAGCTTCCTCCCAGAGGTAACACTGCCTAGGACCCACCTCCATGGGCTGCCTGGAGGACTACCATAGTAATAGAAGGTGCCTAGTAAACAGAAGCTCACGCACATGCTAGGGAAAAAGAGTTTGAATCTATAAAGTATGTTCTCAGAACAGTGTTTGCTAAATAAAGTTAGCCTGTCCTTTCCATCAAAGGCAGCCCCAGAAGCAATCACAGTCCTAGATTCATCACCCAGGACAGTGCCACCAAACAAGAGTAACAAACACAAGTTGCAAAGCTGAGAGATAATTGAATATTTGGAGTCCCTTAAAATTTAGAGCTCTGCAAAATATTTTTGGGAAGGAGGGGGAGAGAAAGAGATAAAGAGAGATAGAGAGACAGACATACACTAGAGATGGAGAAACTGGTATATGCTAAACAAACCTTTTCCTATTCCCATTGCTTCTAGAATTTTCAAACTTCTTTTGAAACCAATAAAAACAGTTCTTCTTGTACAGAAGCCCAATGTGTAAAATAAACAAAAGCCCAGAGCTACCTCCTGCAGAAACAGAACTAAGGACCCAGTAGTTCCAGATGGGTCTGTATGGAAGTCAATCTTCCCTAAAACACAATTACTCTGTACTTGATGTACAACTGATCAAAGGGAAAAAGGGCAGCAATAGTGCCAAGTTTTCTGGTCCTTACTTTCCTAAGAACTTCCAAACCAATATGTGAATCATATTTTCTGCACTAAAAATACATAAGCCATTATTAATCTAGCATTTGTTTTAGGGACCTTGGAGAGACCCAGCTAGAAAAGTTTAGGGAAAGTAATGCATGGTGGCCTTAATACTCTGGAGAGCACTCACAGCACTTCTGCTTAAGGCAGACTGTTTTTATGTGGCAAACGTTAGTACAGTGGTTAAAAACAGACCAAGCCAGATCCCCACTTATCACTTAGTGCTTTCACCCCCTGGACAAGTTTCTTAACCTCTTTGTGTCTCAGTTTCCTCAGTAAAATAGGGATAATAGTAGTATCTGCCTCACAGAGTAGTTAGGATTATTGAATAAAGTGAATAGAAAGATAATTCCTGTAAGTACTATGTACATGTCGCTACAATAATTATATTCTGTTTCTTTTTAAATAATTTCTGATTGTAAAAAAATGTGTTCTTGGAAAATATAAACATTAGTATAAAATGAAAGAATTAATGCTTCTCCTCAAAACCTCCTGTTCCTACTCCCAAAGGAAAACATGCAAACTGGTTTTAAAGGGAGACTTCTGAAGTTTTTTGAAATACAGTTGTTGAAAGACTTTTTGTTTTGGCCCTGGGGAGTGAATCCAGGGGTGCCCTACCACAGAGCTACATTCCTAGTCCTTTATATTTTTTGAGACAAGGTCTCAATAAGTTGCAAGGGCTGGCCTCAAACTTATCCTCCTGCCTCAGTCTCACAAGTGGCTGGGATTACAGACGTGTGCCACCTTGCCTGGTTTGTCTTTGTATTTATAAACAAATAGAATTGTACTATATGGACATTTCTGTAAGTAACGTTTTTCACCTAAAACTTTGGAGATGTCTTCCAATATCAATACTTGTGGACATTCACAGTTCTGACCAATGCACTGCACCTCACCTATTATAAAAATGCACCATATTTTAACCACTATCCAATGGTAATGGGTAACCATTACCCAAATAATTCTTTTTAATATTTATTATTGTAACTGGGGCTTCAATAGACATTTTGGAGGGTAATTTCCATTTCCAGCCTAGGAATTTCCTAATGTTCTAACTTTACCAGTCCTTCACAAAGTCCCCTTTCACTTGGAAAGGAAGCAGGGCAAGATGTGAGCATTGTGCTGTCCAAGTAATACAAGTAGAAAACAAATTCAGAGTGAATTATCTTCCTAATACGCAAGCTCTAAAATAAGAACTAGATGTTTTCTCTGTTATTTTAAAAAACTATTTACAAGCTGTTCTTTTATGCCAGTTTGCACATAGACACAATGACATTTTCTAGTTTAAGTCCTTGGGAACTGCTCAGAGAGATCATGAAGGCTGATCCAATAACTGTGATGACATTCACTCCTATGATTTCATAATCACCAGTTGAATCCTCTTGAGGGTTGGGGAGGTAAAGAAGGAAGAGTATTTCTCCTCATTTCCCCCCAACTTTTCTTTTTTTTTTTTAAGAGAGAGTGAGAGAGGAGAGAGAGAGAGAGAGAGAGAATTTTTAATATTTATTTTTTAGTTCTCGGCGGACACAACATCTTTTGTTGGTATGTGGTGCTGAGGATCAAACCCAGGCCGCAAGCATGCCAGGCGAGTACACTACCGCTTGAGCCACATCCCCAGCCCCATCGAGGCTGTGTATAACTGGTACCTTCAACAGGGACAACATACTTCATATTTATCTTCTTTCCTCAAAGACTTTGTTTCAGGAATCTGATGCAGACCAGGCCTTCAACAGTCACTGGCATTCTTCTAAAAAATATGTTGACTTTTTTGCACAAATAGGTGCTTACACACCAGTGACTTATTTATTCAAAACACTATTACAAGGCAGTGGTATGTCATGTGTTACAGTCTTAAGAGCCCTCCTACCATACCAGGGGAGCAAGAACATTGCAGTTGAAGAGATTTAAAAAGAAAAAAAAGGCTGTTTTCCTCCCCTTCAAGCAGTAAGAATTACACTCCTATGTTAATTTTCCTTATAGGCTATGTTGAATCTTATGATATAAAAGTCTTATTCAAGTATTCTTAAGGAATTTGGTAGCTTTCTTAAGAATACAACAAACAACTGAAAATGACCTTTCAACTTTAGAAATAGTCTGGATATTTGCCCTCTAATTTGAAATAAAAGCAAACAGTCCCCCTAGAGTGGCCAAAAAAAAAAAAGAAAAAAAAATCAGAGAAAGGTTTCACTATTTCAAATATTTCAATAATTTGCTATTCAAACTCTGCTTTGACCCCTGAACTAAAGATAAAATCCCAAACCAGAGATAATCTATGGAGCTTCATCTTCTGTTTTTCAGTTGTGCAACTTTACCCAGCAAAGTACTAGAACTTATCAGCAATTCAGATAGTATTAGACGCCTGAACAAGTTGTTTTGCCCAGTGACTAAAAATCCCTTTAAGGAATCAATAAGGTTTCTTGTTTTGTTCAGTCCAGTGTTGTACAATGAGCTTAAAAAGCAAACAAAGAGGCAAGACAAGACAGTAATTAATTAAGGCATTATCAAAAAGCTGTTTAGAAACTTTTGAAAGTTCAGCCTATCCCAAATAAAACAGTTTTACCTAGCAAATTTCCCAAAGCAACATCTGGTAGATATCACATGCAGGCTGTGTCCTTCCACTTCTGTAAGAACTAACAAAAACATAGCAGGAACTGATTGGCCAAAGATATCAAGCACCTCACAGGTCTGCCAGACACCAAAACAAACATATATACAGTTCACTACCACCACCCCTTTTTGGTTAAATGGTCAAAGGAAAGTTAAAAGCCCTTTGCTTTCTGGGAAATCATGAACATGTACTGACCAAATTCCTAACTCACAAGAAAACACTGAGCAAAATTAAGAAATAAAATAGTGGGCTGGGGATGTGGTTCAAGTGGTAGCCCGCTCCCCTGGCATGCGTGCAGCCCGGGTTCAATCCTCAGCACCACATACAAACAAAGATGTTGTGTCCGCCGAGAACTAAAAAATAAATATTAAAATTCTCTCTCTCTCTCTCTCTCTCTCTCTCTCTCTCTCTCTCTCTCTTTAAAAAAAAAAAAAAAGAAAGAAAGAAAGAAAATACTAAAAGAAATAAAACAGGTTGGCCACTCTGTACATGAGGCAGAATGATAGGCTGAAAGAATAAAATACACACTCAGGCCTATTTAAGAGATGTGTCCTGGAAAGAGCACCAGATTGGATCAAAGTGGGAACAGGGCTCCCACCTCTGGACTTGGGAAAGACCTTTGTATCTTTACTAGTAAATAACAGGGGACATTTATCTCTTAAGTCTCTTCTCATTCTAAAATACACCTAAGAAAAGTATGCTAAAAATGGGTATAGTCCCACATTAATACGTAATACAAGTAACATTTAAAGATACACAAATCGACTCTTATTTACTGTGTCAAACAGTATGAATATCTTATTCTAAAACACAGATACTTAAGCTTTTTTTGACAAGTCAACATTTAGGGAATAATTTCATCAAAGGAGGGTGCAGCAGAAATAAATAATGAAAGTATTCTTAAAATATCCCAATTCTGCCGCCACCCTGTGAGAACAGGAACTCTCTTCCCTAAAATGGTTAGGCCATGTTGAAGCACCTTCCTCTTATGAAAACGACTGACTGCATGACCTTTAAGCACCCAAGTGCTTTCTGAACAATTCCGCCTGGCCCCATGCTACCTCTTTCATAAGAGAGGAATTACAGAAAGGGAGGGCAAGACCTTCCAAGAGTAGGCGCTCTCACGACAACCAGGAACACTGTTAGGACAGGACGTCTGAGCGCCAGAACGTTAGGGAAAACAACTGTAGTCGGTGGACACTCCATCCTGCCCACGAAAATTCCGTTTCTGAAAATCCACTGTCCAGACTCCGTGATGGGTGCAACCCCGGGTGGTCACAAGGATGTTCTTAAACAGGTTGCTGAGTACACAACCCACCGTTTGAAACAAGAATAAAATCACTTAGGCAACTTGGGGGAAAGCTCAAAAAGGAAAACAGAAAAAGCAGGAGCAGAGCCTCCTCAGCGCCACACGTGACTCCAGTAACCACTGAATTACCAAATGGTTTTCCTGACCCGCGTGTGGCAACAAAGGGACGCCGCCCGCGGGCTCAGGTCGCGGCCCCGAGCCCCGCCGCGCGGGAGGGCCGACTGGCCCCGCACACCTGCTCGGCTGCACGTCCCGGCCGCCCGCGCTCCGCCCGCCAGCCGCGTCCATCCCCCCGCGTCCCCGCTGCACGTCCCCAGCCCGGCCCACGTCCCCCAGCGGCCCGCTCCGCCCCCACGGCCCGCCCCTCCCCGCCCCACAAGCTCCACTTCAGGGCCGGCACTCGGGGTCTAGGAGACCCCTGTCAGCTCGCCCCGCGACTGTGGCCTCCAGCAGCCCCAACCCAAGACCACGGGAGGGAGACCCACAGGCCGAGAGGAAGACCCGAGCGCCTCCTCCTGACAGGAGACGGAAGCTGTCAGTCACCCGAACATCCTCAACCTGGACCAATGGGAGGCCTTCTCCTCCCGCCCCCCGCGCAGTGCTGGCAGCCGCGGCCGGAGCAGCTCCTCCTCCCCCATCCCTCCACCGAGTCCGTCGGCCCTGCACTCACTGTTGAGGCCGGCTGGCGGAGGCAACGCCTGTTCCCCTTCCTCGCAGTTGTTGTTGTTGTTGTGCAGGGGCGGCGGTGGCTCAACCAAATGAGACGACATTGTCGGGCGGCTGGAAGAGCTGCGGCCACAGCKAAGAGCGTCTCCGGTTCTCGGGCGGCAACACAACAAGCCGAGTCCCCCGCCCCCTTTTCTGCGCCTGCGCAGTCCCGCCCCCTCCTCTGACGTCAAGGCCCGCCCCGGGCACGTGATGACAACACAACAAGCGGCGGGGCGGGGTGGGGCGGAGCGGGGGCGTTCCCGTGCTGGTCCGGGACGTGCGGACGCGAAGTCACGCTGACGCGCGAGCCTGGAACGAATTCTTGCGTGTAATTTGGGCTGACCGGATGCAATGAATTATGCAGATGGCACTGGGCTAGAGGATACGGAGAACTGTGGAACGAGGAAGTGCGAGGTGCTAAGGTGCTAGCGCCCAAATCTCCCACACGGACTGGATCTCCACGTTGTAGCCAATCCTTAAATATTTAAATATTTAATCCTTAAATATCTGTCAAGAACTCACTTCTGTAAGGGGTATCGTGATACAAAGCAAAAATTCCCAGTTGCTCTCTGCCCTAAACCTAAAATATACCTGGTGAGACAAAAACCGTGGAATCTAAGGTTTCCTGAAACTTGCTAAATGAAAGGGAATTTCAGAAAAACCGAGAAGAGAAGAAAATAATTACTCAAATCTTATCAACCACCTAACCTATTTCTGGGACATGACTTGGGAAGCCATGTAGCCTGTGCGTGGGTGAATCTCAACTGTGTTCCTAAACACTCCTACATCAGATCTCTGTCTTTGTACGATTTCCTTGATCTGATTTATGTGTGGCAATGTATTTCTCCCAGTCTGTTACTTCTTGTAACTTTGTTTCACAGTGCAGACCTATAAAGTTGTAGTGTAACTAAATCTGTCAAGTATATAGGATTTGGGAAGAAGCTCACCCAGGATTATGAATCTATTCTCCCATAACTTTTATCTAATGCTCTTATAGGCTCAATTTTATGTTGAGACCCTAATTCACCTGAAATTTACTTTTCATATGTTGTAAAATATTTAACGTCAATTTTTCCTATTTTTTAATCAATTGACCCAAAGATTTCATTAATTTTTAAGGCATCCTTTCTTCCACTGATTTGAAATTAGCTTTCTAAGGTTCTAAATGCTCACAAAAGGAGGGTCTAATTCTACCGTCTAAAGTTACTAGGTAACTGCTAGAGAAAGTTTCTCTTGTCTTTCAAAAAGCTTTCCTGGMTATTTATTCTTCAGATGAATTTAAAAATAAGCCTGTCCCAAATTTGACTCTGTGTTGGTAATTATTATTTTTACGTTTTTATATTTTTTGGTACTGGGGATGGAACCCAGAGTCTTCTGCATGCTAGGCAGGTGCTCTCTCTACCGCTGAGCCACACTTTCAACCCCTTCAGCATTATTTGAACAAGGTGATATATTAAACTATTCTTTTTAATATATTTGAAAATTCAATACTAAAAAGGTTTTTAATTACTGAATTGTCAGGTATTATTGCAAACTCTTTAAATTTTAGTCAGAAATTTCAATTAATAGATTAATTGGGGTGGGGGTAACTTATATGTTTACAGAAGTGCCTTTGCATTCAAGACTGTTTTATCCCTCCTTGTTCAGTTTTTTTTTTCCTTTTTGGGGGGGTGGGGGTGGGGGGGAGGATGCTTCCTCAAAAGGCTTTCAGATATTTCTTAATCTTTTTAAAATTTTGATATAATCTTATGTTGATTTTATAAAAAAACAATTAGGAAGTTTCCTTTTCTTTGGTCTTAAATAAATGAAATTGAAATTACTGTTTTTAGGGATATAATTCCCTTATAAAAGCATAGGAGCCTGGTACTTTCAGGGGGATTTGCTCTGTTTCTGTAAGATGTCACTTTCATTTCTCACTTTGTGTTATTTGCCCTCTATTTTTTCTTGATTATATTATATTATATTTTCTTGATTATTTTTTCTTGATTATATTACCTAAAGGTTTGTCTATTTTATTGACTCTTTTTTTTTTATTGGTCGTTCATAACATTACATAGTTCTTAATACATCATATTACACGGTTTGATTCTATTTTATTGACTCTTAAATCAAATTCCTGCTTCGTAATTGTATTATTCCTAATATCTTCTTTTGACAGTATTATTAAAATTTAATTCATATACCAGGCAACTTAGCTGTTTAAAGATCACAATTCAATATTTTTACTAGATTTGCAGAATTGTGCAATCATTGCCCCAACCTAATTTCAGAAAAAAGAAAACCTATAATTCTGTTAGACTTCCAATTTGTTTCCTTTTGATGTGTGTTTGTTTGCTACTAGGTATGATAGGGGATTTAACCCAAAGGTGCTTTACTGCTGAGCTACATCCCCAGCCTGTTTAATTTTTTTATTTCAAGACAGGGTCTCCCTGAATTGTTTAGGTCCTTGCTAAATTGCTGAGCCCAGACTTCAACTTCCAATTCTCTTATCTCAGTCTCCTGAGTTCCTGGGATTACAGGTATGTGCCACCATGCGTGGTTAGTCCTCCATTTCTTTAAACAATTTCTTTTAATACCCAGAAAGTTCTGAACCATAATAAAATTAGAAAACATCCTGTTTTTCTACCTTTACTGCCATTACCCATTGTTTTAGTGGGTCATATTCTCTCTTAATATTTAACTATGTAGTTTTAATATGGTTATATTATTTAACAATTTAATGTGATAAACTTTGAAGAGAAGAAATAAGGTACCTCTTACTTTCTTCCTGTTTTCTATCACATTTTTAATTACTTAGATCAGTTCATTACTACTAGAGTCTACACATAAGAGTATATATTCATAGCTATCGCCACATCATGGTGCATAACAAACCACCCTAAACTCACCAAGTTAAACAAGAAATATTTATTCTCTCTTACAGACTAGGCAAGGGTTCTACCACTGTCCTTTTTATATTTCATCTGTGAGATGGACCCTCACCAAGTTGCCCAGGCTGGCCTCCAATTTGCAATCCTCCTTCTTGAGCCTCCTGAGTAGCTAGGATCATAGGTAAGCACCACCAAATCTGGGTCAGTGAAAGTTTTCAATTGTGCCAAATATGGAGCTCTTTTGTTATTGTTGTTGTTGTTGTTATGAACATCCAGTTTTTCCAGCACCATCTGTTGAAAGGTTTTTCTTTCTCCAATGAGTTGCTTTTGCACCTTTATGAAATTAGCTATTCATATATGTGTGGGCTTATTTCTGACCTTTTCATTCTGTTACTTTGATTTATCTATCTTTATGCCAATACACATTTTGTTGATTTACCTTTATAGTGAATCCTGATATTAGGTAATGGTACCCCTCCAACTTTGTTTTTCATTTAAAGTTATAGGTATTTTAGAACCAGCTTGTGAAAATTCATAATAATGGTCTGCTGGAAAATGATTGGACTTTTTTGTATCTATGGATGAATTTCTCAAGCGGTAGCATGCTCGCCTGGCATGCGTGCGACCCGGGTTCGATCCTCAGCACCACATACAAACAAAGATGTTGTGTMAGCCGAGAACTAAAAAATAAATATTAAAATTCTCTCTCTCCCTCTCTCTCTCTCTCTCTAAAAAAAAAAAAAAAAAAAAAAAAAAAAAGAATTGATATATTCACAATCTTGAGCAACAACCCATGAACAAGACATCTCTCTCAGTAGGTCTTCTTAAATGTCTTTTGTAATTTTTTTGTAATTTTTCAGTATATCGGTTCTGTACATCTTTAGACAGATTTATCCTTAAGTATTTCTACTTTTGGATACTATTATTAATGGTTTTGTTCTCACTGGTTCTAGTAACTTTTGAGTAGATTCCAAAGGCTTTTCTACATAGAGACCATGTTGTTGGTGATTACATGAATAATTTTCAGAGATTCTTAATTATTTTCTATTAAATTCTATTGTGATCACAGGAAATACATAGTGTGAATAACCTGAATTATTTCAATTTTATTGATATTTATTTTATTACCTAAAGTAAGATTATTTTTCATAAATGTTATGTATGCATTTGAGAAAAACATGTTGGGTGGAGTGTTCTGTAAATGTCAATTAGATCAAGTTGGATAGTGTATTTTTCAAAGCTACTATAATTTTTCTGATTTTCTGCCTAATTGTTCCATGATTTATTGAGACAGGGGTATTAATATATAAGACTGTGAATATGTCTATTTTTTTTTTGAGATGCTATTTCAGTGTTTGTTTCATGTGTCTTTAAACTCTGTTAGGATATAGATATAGGTACACCAACATTTAGAATTGTCAATTACTTCTCAATTACTTTCTTACTTTTCACCTTAATTCTTTCCTCTGAAATCTGCTTCACATGATATTATTATTAATCACTTGTATGATTCCAATAGATCTCCTTTGTTGGCTTATTCCTATAACTAGGTTTTATTGGGTTTTGATGGACATGTTTGTAATTATTATATCTCCTTTTCTTGCTGAAATTAACCCAGGGATTCTTTATCACTGAACTACATCCTCAGCTCTTTTTATATTTTAATTTCAGACTGAATCTCACCTAGTTGCTGAGGCTCTCACTAGATTGCTGAGGGTGGCCTCAAACTTGCAATCCTCCTGTCTCAGTCTCCCAAGTTCCTGGGATTACAGACATGCACCACTGCCATGAAGTGAGCAGCTTCCTCTACCACATGCTCCCATAACTATGATGTTCTGCCTTTCTCTCAGGCACAAAGCAGGGGAGCCGATTGACCATGGACAGAAACATCATAAACCATGAGTCAAAAGAAATCTTTCTTCCATTAAGTTGATTTTCTTAGGAAATTTGTCACAATGATGGAGAGCTAACATACCCCCTTTATGTCGCACCTGTGCACAGATCATATCTTTAAACATTGTGTGCCATTAACATGGATCTATGATAGTCTAACATCCTGCTGTTTTATTTTTTTGGTACTAGGAATTGAACTCAGGGCCACTCGCTTGACCACTGAGCCACATCCCCAGCCCTATTTGGTATTTTATTTAGAGATAGGGTCTCACTTGGTTGCTTAGCACCTCGATTTTGCTGAGGCTGGCTTTGAACTCCAGATCCTCCTGTCTCAGCCTCTGGAGCTGCTAGGATTACAGGTGTGCACCTAGCTTAATGTCTTGCTTTTTAA